AGGAGTTCGTGGAGGTGCCGGCGTCCGGGGGCATCGAGAGGAGCGCCTACGTTCCGCAGAGCCACGCCGAGGGGGAGCTCGTCGGCGGGGTGGGCGTCGCGGTGCTGACGGCGGAGCACGTCGAGGAGGTCTTGGAGGGGCCGTCGTTCGAGGGCGTCGTGGCGAACGCTCACGTGCCGAAGGTGCCGATCCCGTCGGAGGATTACGTCGAGGAGATCGTGGAGGCGCCGACGTCCGAGGGCGTCGACGAGTGTGTCCACGTCCACGTGCAGAAGGGGTCGTTCATGGAGGTCGCCGCCGAGGAGTTCGTGGAGGTGCCCGTGGCCGCGGGCATCGAGAGGAGCGCCTACGTGCCGCAGAACCACTCCGAGGGGGAGCTTGTCGGCGAGGTGAGCGTGGCGGTGCCAGCGGCGGACTACGTCGAGAAGGTCGTGGAGGTGGCTTCGTCCGAGGACGTCGAGGTCAGCGCCCACGTGCCGAATGTGCCGTTCAAGATCGTGGAGGGGCGGCCAGGGGGGCCGCCCGAGGCCGCCGCCGGGGCTGCCGGCCGCGCCGAGGGGCGGCCAGGGGTGCCGACGGGCATCGAGGGGAGCGTCCACGCGCCGAGGAGCGACGCCGTCGCCGAGGAGGAGCTCGTCGGCGAGGTGAGCGTGGTGCCGCCGAGGCCCGTGGAGCAGAGGCCCCGCTGGGCCGATGCAGGGGACGAGGACTGTGACGTGCTGGTCGAGCTGCCGACGGCCTCCCTGGAGCAGGCGCGGGCGGGCGGCTCGCGGCCGCGGCGCAGGCGCAGGCGCAAGGGGACCAACTGGCAGATAGTGCAGTTCGCCGTTGATGTGCTCGAGCGGTTTGGCTCCCTCCGAGAGTCGCTGGCGGCCACGCTCGGGCCCAGGGCGGTGAATGTGGCTTTCGAGGGGCTGTTCGACGAGGCGTCAACAGCCGCGGAGTGGGGCTGCGACGTGTCGATCGGCTCCGAGACGGGGAACACCTTGGTTCAGATGTTCCTCGGTGGCGAGTTCGCGGAGTGCGCCGACTCGTGGCTCCAGGTCGTCGCGGCCGGGGAGAATGAGTTCTCCGAGGTGAGCCGCGCGCGGGGGCGAGGGGCGAAAGCGGGCGGGGAGGGGCCCCGGAGCGAGGCCCCGCTCTCCCCGTCCGTGCTGGATCCCCCTCGGAATCTTGCGAGGGCGGCCCCGTGAGGCCTGCCTGGGGCTCCTCCTGGGGTCGTGCCGCCTGGCCCGCGGGCCTGTGCGGGGTGGGCGCGCCCTCCTTGGATCCCCCCATCGGGGTTCCAAGGCGGTCGCGCGGGCGTCGGGCTCCGTCCTCGTCGCCACGGCCCGCGCGTCGGGGCGCGAGGCCGCGAGGGGTGCGCAGTGGATCGACTCTGCCCCCCATGTCGCGCCGATCCTCCTCCTCCTCCTCCTCCTCCTCCTCCTCCTCCTCCTCCTCCTCTTGCTCCTCCTCCTGCTACTGCTGCTCCTCCTCCTCCGCCTCCTCCTCCTCTTGCTCCTCCTCTTGCTCCTTCTCCTCCTGCTCCTCCTCCTCCTCCTCCTCTTCCTCCTCCTCCTCCTCCTGCTCCTCCTCCTCCTCCATCTCCTCCTCCCCCTCCTCCTCACACTCTCCGTGTTCCTGAGGGGTGGCGCGAGAGCGCGAAGTTATTCGCGCCTCGCCCAGCGCGAATCGCGATGTCAGAAGCCCATGTCGAGGACCAGCTCGGGAAAAGTTCTACAGCGGAGGCCCATGCCAAGAAACACCCTGCTCGCCTCCAGGGTGCCCTGGGTTTCTTGGGTCTCGATGGTCTTGCTCTGGAAATCGCGACTTACCCACACCAGAAGCCAATGGGCTCTCTGCGGTCTCAGGGCTGGGTTTCTTGTGGAAGGCTTCTTGTGGACGGGCCCCCACTGTACGCACGAGCAGACAAGCACACGGCGATTGGCCGTCCGAGCGAGCGATGGCAAGTGTATGGAGGTCGGCCTCGCTGAGCAGCCACAGGATCGGCACTGGCTTGGCCGCACAGGCCTGCGTTCTCTGCGTCGTCCGCCCGCAGGCCCACGGACCAACTTGTTGTGACGTTCTCTTTGCGCTGTTGTCAGGGTTGTCCCGGGCGCTTTGTTTGGTGTTACATGCTTATTTCTTGTTTGGGTATGTCCTTCTCTTTATCTCCCTCTCGTTCTCTCTCCCGTCATATGACTGTGCATGTGCACATATTGTAGAAATGCATGTGTATATATTGTCAGTGTTGCGAATTGCGGACCCGGCACGCAGGTCTTCGATGCCAGGCGGGGAAGCTTGGTCATCGCGAACCAGCAGGGCTTCACCGACGTTTTGTATCTGTGCATGAAGGCTCACACGCTCGGTTCACCCTCAGAGCCGCCCTCCAGGATGAGGAAGGAGCAAACGTAGGAGCAGGATGAGGGAGGAGGTGCAGGAGGAGGAGGAGGAAGAGGGGAAGAGGGAGGACAGAGCTGGCACACAGTGGCTAGCAAGGGTGGGCCTGAGTCGGGAAGCTCCCCACTTGGGAGGGGGGGTCTTACATGTTTTTCGAATGTGTGAACAGGCTGGTGGGTGCCAGGCGCGGTCGCGCCGAGGTTCCCTTGGAATTCTTTGGCTTTGTTTCCGTGCAAGGGGGGGTCCCTGGTCCCTGGTCTTCGTTTTGGTGTCTCAGTGCCTTGGTTTCGGCTTCTCGCTTGGTGTTACTGGATTGATTTCTTGGTCCTGGTTCCTCGGTTCCTTGGTCCTGCTTCCTGGATTCCTTGGTCCTGGTCCATGCCGCTCATGCGGCTGCCGCTTCTTTTTGTTCCGTCCGCATGCAGGAATTGTTCTCCGAACTGGGGTCGCGCTGCTTCACTTTTGGGCCTCGTGCCCCGGGGGGGAATTGTCGCGCGAGGACGTCGAGCGTTGCAAAGGCCAAGTCCACGGGGGCCCGTCCTCGTCGCCCGATCCTTGGATTGGTATAGCCATTCGCAGCGGTGCGTATATACAGGGAGGGTGGTGTGGCGTCGTCAGTGCGCTGCTTTGGGGTTGACCCACTCCCATCGGGGGAGCGTAAGACCCGGGTTTGCCAGGACTCGGGTTCGCCATCGTTTTTTGACGACCGCGCCTCGGATTTTGACGAGGAGGAGTTTCGTGGGATGTCTGCAGCGGGAGGCCTCGTCAAAATGCAGGCTCGGCCTCGTCATTTTTGACGACCTCGTCGGGGATTTCCGAGTCCCCTGTACCCAGGTCTTACGTCCCCCTGATCTCACTTCCTCACTTCATCAAGGATAGGTCTAAGTCGGGCGTGTCCCTCTACAGGAGGAGTGTTCAGAAACAGTCACAACAATAGTCCGGGGATGATGTCTGGGCATCTTTGAGCATTGCTTGATGAATGTTGGACTGCTGTTGTTTTTCGTCCAACAACTTCCTGTAGGAGGACGCGCCCGACCTGAGGAGAATTAGGTGCTCGAGGCGAGTTCTCGGGCTTTCAAGTCTGCTGTCTTGCAGAGAAGGGCAAGAAGGCTCCGAGTCCGAGGGCGATGTTCGGTTGCAGTATGTTCGCGCTCGAGGTGAGTAGTTGCTTCCCTCTCGTTTGGTGTGTACTCTCTCTCTCTCTCTCCCCTTGTATTTCTCTCTCGCTCTCTTTCTCTCTCCCTCTCTCTCTCTCTCTCTCTCTCTTTCTCTCTCTCTCTCTCTCTCTCTCTCTCTTTCTCTCTGTTTATCTATATATCGTTCTCTCTCTCTCTCTCCATTTCTCTCTCTCTATTTCTCTCTCTTTCTCCATTTCTCACCCTCTCTCTCTATATCTCTCTCTCTCTCTCTCTCGCACGGAGGGCTTGCGCGTTTCACGTGCAGGCCTGGAGCACGAACTCGTATCATACAGATGTGCGTTTGATGCAGTTGACTCGCCTTTTGCCTTCATCTACCAGCCGCTCACAGTGGGCGCAGAACGATGGACGATGCGCAGATCGGTGCCACGGACGCAGTCTGTGGATTTGTATCCAGAAGCAGCGGCCTTGTTGTTGTTCAGGGGACGGACAATCCAAACCAAACTAAACAAGGAGGGAATTCCCAAGGTTTGGTCTGGGATTGCCCCAGACGAAAGACCCTACCTAGTAAAGCCCAGATCGCCCTCTCTCCATGGTCTGATTTGGGCTTCCATTCTATGTGTTACTCTAGAGCGCAACACTCGAACCCCCTGGCGAAAATGTACTCTTTCCCTCCAGAACCGGCTTCCTTCATCCGGCGGCGAGCGAGGGGGAGGGGAAGTGACAAGGAGAAGGCCTTCTCAGAAGGCGGCAGGGCTTCTCAGAAGCCCTCGCGCCTTCTGAGAGCGTTTTTGTGCCTTCGGGGAAAGCTTAGAACACTTCTCCGAAGGCTGGGGGACTTCTGAGCCTTCTGAGAAGGCCCGCCCCTTGTCACTTCCCTCCCTCGCTCGCCGCCGATGCATGCAAATCGGGTGCCGTCTTCGTGATCTCACCCGCGCGCGCCGCACAGCTCTGCCCGACCTTCGTGTTCCCGGCGAGCGGCGGCGAGCCCACGCAGGTCTCGTTGCTGGGAGCCCTCAGGACCGGGAGAGCGGGGTGCCTCCTTCTTCCTCATCCTTCTTTTTGTCCTCCCTCCTTCTCCTCCTCCTTCTCCTCCCTGCTCCCTCCTCGTCCTCCTCCCTCCTTCTCCTCCTCCTCCTCCCCCTCCTCATCGTCCTCCTCCTACTCCATCTCCTTTCCTTCTGTTATTCTTCCTCCTCCCCCCCTCGGGGTTAAGAAGGCTGCCAGCTGCCCGACTGCCCGAGCCCCCTCCCGCCCGAGCCCCAGGCGCGCAGGCGCTCGTCGCCTTGGCATGCCGCCCGAGCACCCCGTGCAGCTCAAGGAGACGCCGCGGCGGCGGGGCGACGTACGACGACGACCACGACCACGACGACCACGACCACCACGACGACCACGACCACGACGACCACGACGACCGCGACCACGACGACAACGAGGACCACGACGACGATCACGCCGACCACGATAACGACGACGACGACGTCGACGACGACGACGACCACGACCACGACCACGACCACGACCGCAACCACGACGACCACGTTCACGACCACGTTCACGACCACGTCCACGACGACGACGACCACGACGACCGAGGCGACCGCGACCACGACGACCACGACGACGACGACGACGACGACGACGACGACGACCACGACCACGACCACGACCACGACTACGACCACGACCACGACTATGACCATGACCACGACCACGACGACCATGACCACGACGACGAGAAGGAGGACGACGACGACGACGAGGACGAGGACGACGACGGGCGGCGGCGGCGGTGACGACGACGACGAGCGGAGAAGGGCTTGGCATCGCTCGGGCGTGTGCATTTTTCGGCAATGGCCGTCGAGGAGCAGATTGGACCCTCCTAGGCGAGAATCACATCACGAAGGCGCAACATGCACGTGGGATGGACGTCCGAGCGATGGCATGGGGGGGCGTGGAACGCAGCACGGGCAGCAGCGGGGGTGCGAGCTGTTGGAGCCGCAGCCATGTACCCCGCCGGCTGAAGCGCCGGGAAAACTACACTTGAGTAGAGCAATACGATTCGTGTTGACAGCTTCTTCTCTGTCTCCCTCGCCCGTCCGTCCTCCTCCGCTGCTGCCCCCCCTCCTCATCTGCTTCTCCTCCTCATGATCCTCTGCTTTTCCTCGTGATGCGAACGTAACGTCGAACCGCCGCGCAACACTGCTATGGACCAGTCTTTCGTGCATGGGCCGTGTTTGCATGGTTCCTGGCATGTAAGTCTCCTCGTCTGAGCGTCTCCGTGCCGATGCGCCGTCCAGGCACGGCTCGTTCCTGTCCTGTCCCGTCTTGGGTGCCCCGTCCTCCCCTCTTCGCTCTCCTCGCTGCCGTCGTCGGCGTCGTCTTCCTCAAGCGGCGGAGGGGGAGGGGAGGCCGCATCCTCCTCATCCTCGTCCTCCTCCGCCGTCGCCTTACCCCTCTCCCTCCTCCCCCTCCTCCTCCTTCGCCCTCCTCCTCCCTCTTCCAGCTCCGCCGCCTCCTCAACAAAGGAGCCTCGGAGGAGGGGGGCAGAAGGCTGAGAAGCAGGGCGATGATGGTGGTACGATGACGATGATGCGGACGATGTGGATGGTGGCGATGGCAACAGTAAGTAATTATGGCGCCGAGCATAATGGTTGTCATGTGCGATGGTGGTGGTGGTGATGGTGATCGCCATGAAGATTAAAATAGTGACGGCGATGGTGCTGATGAATGGGATGAGGGAGGATGGAGGAGGGCGGCAAAAGACGCCATCCTCCCCTGTCCAGATATAGCAATGCAGCTGTTAACCTTTCGAAGTGCCTCCCAGCGCCTGAATCCCAACCTACCTATTGTAGCCTCTTTCGCGGAGGACATATCGGAGAAGGCGGACCTTTTGCAGCAGTTGGTGCTCGTTGTCGCGTGATCAACGTCGAGTTGCATTATATGACATGGGTTCTGACACAGTGCACTTCAAGTCAAAATGGTTATGCCGGTCAGCGTTTTCTGCTCAACGCGCTGTCATTCTCAATTGCGCATTAGGTTCACTACCAGGATGAGTTGTGCTATTGATGTTTCTTTGCGCCGTGCTCGAGCCCTCCGCATACATGTAATTCCTGCGTTTCGTCGCTGTCGTTTTCTGCTTGTTTCTCTCCATTCCGCAAGCAGTGCCTATACTTAGGGGTTCTTACGCGTGTTGCAAGATAATCGGCAGGACGTGCCATGGCTTCGACTGGTGCCAGGCCGGGGCGCCTCGTGGGCGCACCGTGCATTGGGTTACCAGTGGGCGCCTCTACGCTGCTACTACTACTAGGACTGCTCGTCCCTGCGCCTCTACTGCGAGTGCATGGCATCGTGGGGGGTCCCGGCTTCGGGTTCGGTCTGGGCCTGAAATGCAGTATGAACCAAACTATGATTCAAGTATACGACCATCATGCATGTAGAACGCGATTCTGTTCAAACAGCAATAGAATGCAACAGCAACGTGATGTAATTACGAGTCCAGTGTTATATGAGATATGTTCAGCCACTACATTACATTTTAAACCGCTTACGATGCACCTGCATTACGGTTCGAACCAACTTAACATACGTATGTTTACACGGAGGCGGAGTGTGCAAGTATACGCATGTATGCAGATTGGATTTCATTCCGCGATCCTAACAGCACTACGTTCCGCGGGTTATTTAGTCAGACACGAAAGTGAGTCGAGTACAACTTTTTAAACGAAGGACGAGTGCAGAAAGAAGGTTGTCATAGATGATCTGCCTTGGCTTACCGTGTACGCGCTAGCTAATTCGGAAGCGCGAAGGTGAGTTGTATACCAGCATCTGCGCCAAGGCAGGGTGTGGAAACTACGTTGCCATTGCTTTCTTGCATTGGGTTGCCATAAACGCGCCGTTGGGTTTACGAGACGCGACAGCAATGTTTTGTAATCCATATAACGGAATCCGTTACGGCTGCAGCAGGGAAAACATGTAGGGACACAGTTGGCACATAACTCAAGTTTAGAATTTGAATAGAAATTGAAGGAGTACGGCAGGGCCGCAGAAAGAATACTAGAGGACTTGTTTCCGAATGCAGCACCAGACCCATCGAAGAGACAACGTTCCCAGTGATGAAGACGTTGGGTTTGCGCTGGCGTCGAGTCGGATTCGCAATAGACCTATCTGAAGATCTTGATGCCCCTCTCTTGTTTTCACTATCTCCCTGCTTTTCTTCTGCCTCACTCTCCCGCTTTGCTCCCACCCCTCCGGGCTCGCCTGCGCCGTGCGCCCGGCTTCCCTGCACTGCGCTCCCGCGCCCCCCGCGCCTCGTCATCTTCCTTGTCGTCCTACCCCATCCTCCAGATCCGGCTCCTCGCCATCATCACCACAAGCATCATCATTATCACCACCACCACCATCATCAGCATCAGCATCATCATTGTCATCATGATCATCATTTTCATCACCACTCTCACAATCAGTATCACGGTCACAATCAGCATCACCGTAGTCATCATCATCGTCATTATCCTCGTCATCGTCATCATCATCGTCATCGTCATCGTCGTCATCACCATCATCATCGTCATCATCATCAACATCATAGTCGTCATCTCCATCGCCAGCATCATCACCATCATCATTGCCGTCGCAGTCGTTGTCGTCATCACCATCATCACAGCCATCACGATTGTCATCATCACCATCCGTATCGTTATCAGCGGCATCAGCATCGGTATCACTCTCTCTGAGAGCTCCCCCCCTCTCGCCATGGCCCTCTGCGAGCCCGCACCAGGCACGGGCGTCCTGGGGCGGGCCCGTGGTCATCTTCCCCGAGGGCGCGCGTACGAACGGCAGCTGCGTGCTGGCCTGGAAGGCCAAAACGCTGCCAGACGTGTGTGTGTGTGTGTGTGTGTGTGTGCGTGTGTGTGTGTGTGGTGTGTGTGCGTGTGTGAGTGCGAGTGTGTGTCTGTGTGTGAGTGTGTGTGTGTCTGTGTGTGTTCTGCTGCCGAGTGCGCACGGTCTCAGCATCGCTGGACATCTTGGCATCCTCGCATCGAGAGAGCATACATCTCGACAGAAGGGATTCGACAAGTTTCTTCCCGGGGACTCCTTACTACACCCAGGGGCAGTCAAACGTGGAAAGCTTCACCGAGAACAGCAGAACCCCTAACCCTGATAACACGATGACGACGTGGCCTCACTTAGGTCCCCGTCCTCGCATTAGGGATTATCATACACATATATATATATATATATATATATATACATATAACGGCGCACCGGGTCCGGGGGCCCGGGGCCGGGACCCCGACCACAAATGTGGGCCCCGGGGGGCCCGGAGGCTCGTCGGACCGCCGGACGCCGTCCAAGATCGTTCGCAGGCGGCTTCGGAACGCGCTCCGATGGCTCCAGATGCCTTCCAAGACGCCTGTCATGACACCAAGAAGGTCCCAGAAGCCTCCAAGACGCTCCGAGAGGCAGCCCAAGAGAGGCCCAAGAAGCAAACATTGTGCCATTCCTATGGGAAAACGTATATTTTTCGCATGTTCGCCTATTGGGCTTTCACCGCGTCCAAGACGGCCCAAGAGGCGCCCAAGACGGTCTACGAGGCCTCCGGGAGCGCTCCAAGGCTGCGCACGAGTGGCCCAGGACGGCCCCAAGACGGCCGAAGAGAGCCCCAAGACGAGTTCGAGAGGGGTCCCAGACGGAGAAAGCCAACCTCGAATTCCGAGCTTCCGGCCCAAGAGGCTCCAGGAGGCGCCAAAATGCCGCCAAGAGGCGCCAAAAGGCTCCCAAAAGCACCCCAAGACGTTCCGAGAGGCACCCCAAGAGAGGTCCAAGAAACAAAAATCGTGCCATTCCTATGGGAAAACGTATATTTTTCGCATGTTCGCATCTTGGGCTTTCACCGCGTCCAAGACGGCCCAAGAGGCCTCCAAGACGGCCTAGGAGGCCTCCGGGAGCGCTCCAAGGCTGCGCACGAGTGGCTCAGGACGGCCCCAAGACGGCCCAAGAGAACCCCAAGACGACTTCGAGAGGGGTCCCAGAAGGAGAAAGCCACTCTCGAATTCCGAGCTTCCGGCCCAACATATCCCAGGAGGCGCCAAAACGCCGCCCAGAGGCGCCAAAAGGCTTCCAAAATCAGCCCAAGACGTTCCGAGAGGCACCCCAAGAGAGGTCCAAGAAACAAAAATCGTGCCATTCCTATGGGAAAACGTATATTTTTCGCATGTTCGCATCTTGGGCTTTCACCGCGTCCAAGACGGCCCAAGAGGCCTCCAAGACCGCCCCAAGACGGCCCAAGAAGCTTCCAAGAGGGCCCCAGGACAGCCCAAGAGGGCCCCAAGACGGCCCAAGAGGCGCCCAAGATGGCCCAAGAGGGCCCCAAGACGGGCCCAAGAGGGGGCCCAGAGGGGGACCACGAACCGCAAGCTCGAGCCTTCCGCCCCAAGAGGCCGCCAGGAGGCCCCAAGGAGGCCCCTCAAGAGGCCCCAGGAGACCCCCAAGAGGCCCAAAGGAGGCCCCGAGAAGCCCCAAATCGGCCCCCAAAATGCTTCGAACCTGCTTCCAGGAGGCCCCCGACAGGTTCAGAGGCTCCCGAGAAGCTACGTCAAACTCCCAGCGAGCGGCCGGACGAGGCCCCCCACAAAATCACAAGAGGGTTCCAGTATTTGTATCCTTCAGCGCTCTCTGGCCTTCTTCCCCCTGCCCCCTTCCCTGCGACTTTCGTTGACTCAAGCTCGCCTCCTAGCTAGAACCTAAGCGCGCGCGAAGCGCGCGCGTGGTTCTAGTATATATATATATATATATATATATATATATATGTGTGTTTGGTTTTATGTTTATATGTACATGTATAAATTTACAGGGGCAGTTTGGTCTTCTACATCTGCAGAAAAGACCCCCTCTCCCTAATGTTTTGGTTCTGGCCTCCCAGATGGGGTCCGAGTAGATGGGGTCGGAGGACCACGCGGCATCGCCGATGCATCGGCGAAGCGGCTCGATGTGGAGCCCGATTCCCCCACGCCGACGTCGCCGATGCATCGCCGAGACATCGGCGAGGCATTGGTGATGCGGCGCGATCCTTCGATTCCATCTTCTCGGACCACATCTACAGGGCTCATTTCTACTCCTCCGGTTCAATTCGATTCGATTTCGATGGCCTTCCGACGCCGATTCGATTCGTCTTGGGATTCCGATTTGGGCGCCGATCTCTTCTTGGACGCATACCGGCCTGCCGAGCTCCACCGATGCGACTTTTCCCGACTCGGCTGCCGATTTCCGCCTATCCGATTCATTCAGATCGCAGATCCGACTTCATCTGCTACCCTCCTGATGTTATTTTTTGACGAGGGCTGCAGGAGGGCTCTGTCAAAGCTGGTCCGGCGAGCCGTGCCGCGTGCCTCGAGAGCAGCACGAAGCCGGGGCACGTAGGCACATCCCCAGAGGGCGCTCCTCGGCGCCACGGGCCCGCCACCTCGAGATGCGGGGGGGGGCGGAGGGAGGAGGGAGAGAGGAGGAGGGAGGGAGGGAGGGAGGGAGAGGAGGAGGAGGAGGAGGAGGAGGAGGAGGAGGAGGAGGAGGAGGAAGGGGAGAAGGAGGAGAAGGAGGAGAAGGAGGAGGAGGAGGAGGGGGCGAGGCAGTCAAGCGAGACCCCTTCTCCTACGCCTTCTCCTTGTCGTCCTCGTCGTCGTCGTCCTCCTCTCGGGAGTGGGTCGAGAGGCCCGACGGAGACGGCATCTGTCTCCATTCGGCGGCGAGGGTCAAGTCGGGCCTGTCCCTCTACAGGAGGAATACTCAAGAATAGTTAAACAAATAGTATGGGGACGATTTTCCTACCATGTTTTACTAATTTGGAGTATTTTTGCCTATTGATTATTTGTCCTCCAAAATCCGCCTGTAGGAGGACATGCCCGACCGAAGGCGAGGGATGGGGGAAGTGAGAAGGAGAGGGCCTTCTCATAATCTGGGCCTCCCAGATGGGGTGTCAGAGCAGATGGAGCCGGAGGATCGCGCCGCATCGCCGATGCATCGGCGATGCGGCTCGATATGGACACCCGTGTTTCACTGCTCCGACGTCGCCGATGCATCGCCGACGACGCAGAGGCACCGCCGATGCATCGCCGATGCATCGGCGATGCGGCGCGTTCCTCCGACCCCATCTGCTCCGACCCCATCTGGGAGGCTCCTGGGAAGCGAGAAGGAGAAGGCCTCCTCAGAGGGCGACGGGGCTTCGCAGAATGCCCTCGCGCCTTCGGATGGCTTTTTTTGTTTCTGTGCCCTCGGGGAAGCGGCTCAGAGAACTTGTCCCGGAGACCCCACGGAGACGGCATCTGTCTCCATCTGGGGGAATGGGGTCGTAGGGTTAAGTCGGGCCTGCCTCTCTACAGGAGGAAAATTCAAAAATAGTGCAGAAATAGTCTGGAGACCATTGTGTGAGTATTGTTTGGCCATGTTTGCGCATGTTTGGCTATTTGTTGTTTTCTTCGAAAATCGTCCTGTAGGAGAACAGGCCCGATTTAATCGTAGGGGAACAAACAATGACATACAGTGGAGGTTTATGCCAAGATGCACCCTGCTTGCCTCCAGGGTGCCCTGGGTTTCGTGGGTTTCGATGGTTTGGCGGTGGAGAGAGCGTGACGTTCCCACTCCCACAGCCAATGCATGTCCTTGTGGAAGGTTTCTTGTGGACTGGCCTCCACTGTAAACATAAGAACTCGGGGGTCCCCGCGGAACCCCCGAGTTTTCGTGCTTATGTCACTGTTCGTTCCCCCCCGTTCCCTCGCCCTCGCCCCCCCTGGAGCGGGAGCCGAAGGAGCAAACCACACGGAGGCCTCCGCAGCGCTGTGCGCGAGAAGGCGCGCGCGCGCGCCGAGATGCGTGCCGCACTCGCCCGGGCCACACTGGCTCGACGCGCGCTTGCCAACTCGGGGGCGGCCAAGAGGGGGGCGATGACTGGGGGGGGGGAGGATTGCAAAAAAACCCAGGATTGCAAAAAAAGGATTGCAAAAAAACCCTTGAACGAAGGATTGCAAAAAACCCTTGAACGAAAAATCCTTGGGTTTTTTTGCAATCCTGGGTTTTTTTGCAATCCTTCGGCGTGGGCCATGCTATTTCCCCAGATCTCATGGCGCCTCTTCTCATCCCATGACGTCCCCAGCCCCCCCAATGGGCCGCGCAACTGCCGCCGGCCATGATCTGCCCCCCCCCCCCCTCTCTTGGACGCCCCCCTCTCGGCCGCTCCCGAGGCAGTCGGCCACCTCTCCACCCCCTCGCGAGAGTGCAGGAGTGGCGAGGCAGAAGTGGCGATCGGGAAGCCCAGCATTCGGGCCATGGCGCTGTGGCCAGGACTCTGTGTGCTGCCGATTGGCCCAGCACTCCTCGGCGGCGAGTGAGGGGGGGGGGAGGAGTGAGACGGAGAAGGCCTTCTCAGAAGGCGGCGGGGTTTCTCAGAAGGCCTCGCGCCTTCTGAAAGGCTGTTTCTGCGTCCTCGGGAAAGGCTTCGGAAACTTCTCATCGCAGAAGGCTGGGAGACTTCCGAGCCTTCTGAGAAGGCCTTCTCCTTCTCACTTCCCCCTTGGGCAGTCCGCCGAAACATGCCCTCCTCTCTTCCCGCGTTCCGTCGTGCCCCAATTCGCTCGCGGCGCGTCCCGCTCGTTGCCTGATCGGCGCCTGCATTTGTTTCGGTTCGCTTGCGCCATCCTATTTCTAAGAGCTTGCCAGCATGTGTCACGTATCACTTCCCAGAGTAGAGAGATACCGATACCGTCGATCGTCATGCAGAGCCTTCGTCGACACTTGGATTCCCTTCGGAATTCTGGTCAGAGCCCACCCCGGAGAGGTCCAGGGAGTAGCGGTATCGGTATCGTTGTG